AGAAGGTAAATAGCAGACTGAATAATTTAAAAAGTTAAAAATGGTTGCAGGACTTCAAATAAACTGCCTTGGGAAAGAGAAGCTGGTTTGTTGTTTGGGTTTTCTTTTCTTTTGTTTGTTGTGTGCCGTCGAATCATATCCAACTGGCACAGGAGGAGGTTGCCCCTCCTTCTTCAGCAGAACATCTGGTGGAGTCCAACCATATGCCTTCATTCTTTTTAAACATTACAGAACTATTTAACTTGAAATCCATTCATGAGTTATTTTAACCAGTGACATTTTTCTTCTAACTGGGATGGGGCTGATCCCTAAAATGTGCCAAAAGTTAGTTTTGGGATTTTTTTTTAAGCAAGTAATTCTGTAAGGGATATCACGGAAATGAGCACTCACACAAATATTGTCTCAAATATTTCCTCCCAGAAAGAAACACACAATATGGGGTTGATTAGACCACATTAATCAATGGTAACTAGTACTAATAAAATGAAAGGTCTATGAATGATTGTATGAAAAGTCAATATTGGTTTTTAGCATTCACTGAAATTTAAAAAAAGTAAACTCTGCCCTCTTGTTACATGAGCTTTTAGCTCCTACTGTAGCTGTTCTGTCTGTTGTTCTTGTTACTATGTGCTGTCAAATCACCTGCAACTCATAGCGATGCTATGTACAACAGCCCTAAAATCTGCTCTATCTTGTGCCAATCTTATTGTCTCTGACACACCTACCTCCATAACCCCAGTCACTGAACCAGTCCATCTCATTGAGGGTGTTCGTCTCTTGCATTATCCCTCCACCTTCCCAAGCATGACATCCCTCTCCAAGAATTAATCCTGCCTTTCAACATGTCCAAAGTATGTTGGACAAAGCTTCAGAATCCTTGCCTACAAGGAGCAGTCTCATCTCGCCCTCTCTAGAATGAACCTGTTTGTTCTCCTAGCAGTCCATGGTAATTCAGTTCTCTTCTCCAGCACCGCAGCTCACAGGCATCAATTCTCATTCTTTTATCCCTAGTCATTGTCCAGCTTTCTGATACATAGTAAGTGATTACAAAGACTATGCCCTGAATCAGGCGCACCTTAGTCTCCAGACTGACATTGTTGCTCTTCAGTACTTTGAAGAGGTCTCTGACAGCAGATTTTCCCAATGCAATTAGTTTTTTCTTTTTTTTCTTTCTTTCTTTTTTTTTTTTTTTATTTCCTGGCTGCTGATACCAAGAGTGTTGATTGTGGAGCCAAGAAAATTAAAGCTATTAACAATCTCGATCTCTTCACCATATAGTAAATCAAATCTATGGAAACAAAAATTTGATCTTGAGGCTATTCCACTTGAATTTCAAAACCGTGTTAGGAACAGGTTTGAGGCCTTGAACACTAATGAGCAAAGACCAGATGAGCTGTGGGAGGATATCAAGAATATTATCCAGGAAGAATCCAAAAAGTCATTGCAAAGACAGAAGAGGAAGACAAGACAAAAATGCATGTCAGTAGAGACATGGAATATTGCATTAGAGCACCAGGAAGCCAAAGCAAAGGGAAGAAATCAAAATTTTAAGTAGCTGAACAGAAGATTTCAGAGGGTAGTGTAGGAAGACAAAGTATTAAATGAAATGTGCAAGGAGCTGGAGTCAGAAAATCAAAGAGGCTGAATTCGCTTGGCATTTCTTAAGCTGAAGGAACTCAAGAACAAATTCAAGCCTTGAGTTGAATTACTTAAGGATGCTTTAGCCAGAATATTAAATGATCTTTCTCTGTTGGGAGAAATAAAAGACCAAGTATGATATCCAGGTGCACTTTCAGGAAAAAGTAATATTGATGAAATTCTCTTTCCTAATTGGACCAAGCCAGTACCTTTGGCAGCCAAAAACTTGTATCAACTGAATTATTGCTATAGCAATCAGCTTTTGGTTAAAAATTAGCTCATAGGTTTAAAAAAAAAAAAAAGGAAAGATAATGTAAAGTATGAGGCTCAATGTCAAGAAGACAAAGATTCTCACCACTGGACCAATTAGCAGCATCAGGATGGATGGTGAAGAGATTGAGATTGTACACAGGTTTAGTTT